ATAAAACCAATACTTTATCACTTTATCACTTAATTTAACTTACACTTGATTCACAAACACACCACACACACAAATGCACACAAACGCACACAGACGCGCATCCAACCCCCAACTGGCTACCATATGAACGGGCACTTCTCCCTCAGGATTTTCACCCCATGCTTGTTCCACTCCGTCTGCTGGATCCAGAGCTCGTTGCTTCCTTCCAGACAGGTCATGAGCGCCGCCCCCTTCCACGCCGTCATGCACGGATCCATGTCCTTCGCGCGGGTTATTATCTCAATTTGTTCTGTTGGGAGAGAGGGATTTCGGTGCCATTAAGACCACTGTCGCCAGCTTCGTTGTGAGAAAAAATATGACGAGAAAAAAAAAATATCCTTATTAAGCATTTCTCTCTTCTTATATTATTCTATGACTTCCTCTATCTAGTGGAAAAAAATAGATATACGCATAAAGAAAACATATTCAGTTGCAACAGGATCCTATGTTCTTAATTTATTTATTCAATATTTCAAAAAATCAGTTTACGTAATACAAATACATACACACAAATATACAAAATATCTTATATACTTCAGTACTTTCTCAGTATCTTAGTCCTATCAAAAAACACAAGATAAAAATCTATATATGTATGATACTAAACGTGATCCTACATTGTCATTGAAGAATTATTTGGTATTTCAAGAAAGGAGAGGATAATAAAGAGAATGGAAGGGAGAAATATGCAAAGCTAAACTTCATAAATATACAAATAAAAAAATACTTTTCCATATTGCCAATCAAAAAGGGAGAGAGAGAGAGAGAGAGAGAGAGAGAGAGAGAGAGAGAGAGAGAGAGAGAGAGAGAGAGAGAGAGAGAGAGAGAGAGAGAGAGAGAGAGAGAGAGAGAGAGAGAGTTACTATTCTCCAACCAATTTCATATTACTTTAAATTGCCTTGGATAACTCTTTTTTTTTCAACTTGGCCTTCTGCAAGTAGTAACATAAATATAAACCTTTCTTTCAGAAAACAAGCCAACATCACCCTTGCTAATAAGTGGACAGGCAGATTATTTTTTTTTCTTTCTTTTCTGCAGTCCTGAACTATAAACATACTATACATTCCAGTAAATTTATGAATTAAAGCACACTTAATTAATGACAGGAAAATAGCTCAGAATAAACAACACATATTTCCTAGTGACTGACAATCTTCTTCATCATTTCTTTCTCTAATGCAAGATTATTTGCATTATGGAACACTCATACAGGCATATGAGGCATCTCACATACATTTCCTAACACAAGTTCCCAGCTCAAACTATACACCTTCACCCCTGTCATATAATGCTCTCAAAATTACGGTATGACTAAACTAGACATCCTGGTGCCGACTGATATACCTGAGGTGGTATTCCCTAATCTTGAGAATGATTCAGAGAGATCACTGGAGATATGCTGGTCAGGGTATGATCAGTTAAGAATATTGGTAAACTACTAATAACTGCAACTGCTAAAAGTTTGAAGTACTTTTAAGTGAATGTCTAATGAGTCAACATGATATCATTAAGGTAATGTATAGCAAAAATCTAAGCTATAGTATAGTTATTTATATACTAACAGCTGGAAAACCAATAATCCAGTACAGAAAATCCATGTTTTTTTCCCACATAATCTTAAAAAAAGAAGAAGAAGAAGAAGAAGAAGAAGAAGAAGAAGAAGAAGAAGAAGAAGAAGAAGAAGAAGAAGAAGAAGAAGAAGAAGAAGAAGAAGAAGAAGAAGAAAAAGAAGAAGAAAAAGAAGAAGAAAAAGAAGAAGAAAAAGAAGAAAAAGAAGAAGAAAAAAAAAAAAGAAAAAGAAGAAAAAAAAGGAAAAGAAGAAGAAAAAAAAAAGAAAAAGAAAAAGAAAAAGAAAAAGAAAAAGAAAAAGAGAAAGAGAAAGAAAAAGAACAGACGACGACATAACGACATAACCCAAATCCTCTCACCTGGACGATATGCAACAGGAATCTGCAACAAGAGTCGACTCTGCAGCCACTTGCCGAGGCTCTCGAATTTAGCCCCTCCTCCCACTATCAAGATGCTGCTGTACATCTTCCGCTTCATCTCGTCGCTTTCTGCAAGAGAGATTCAGACTTGGGATGCTGGCACTGATGCTGTCGAAGCATGAAGGAAAGAGGTGGCATTGAGATAAAAAAATTTAAAGAAATGATAACGGAAGGCTTGAGGTGGCAATGAGATAAAAGATGGAAAGAAATGACAACAAATAAAGCATTGGGAAAAGTTAGATAAAAGACACGAGGGGGAAAAAAATCAAAACGGGAAGACAACATTCTAATGACATTTACATAATCTTCAAATAAATACCATTTTCCTATCAGATTTTAAAAATCCACAGACAAAACAATCAAGCAATTACTAATGACATTTCTAAATAGTTATCTTTTTTTTTTTTAAGGTTATGGAAAAGACTTCAAGAAATGCATGAAACTTATATTACCAACCATCCTATTTTCAAATTATTACAACTGTCACTCTGATCTTATTTGAAAAAAAAAAAACATAATGAAGATAAAAAAGCTGTTCATCAGTCATAAATCAGTCTCAAATTTTCCTTGATCTCAAAGCGAATTCAGCAGCAAAACCAAGCCAGACCAGAACTCACGGCATCTGTCTATGCTCGTCAGAATGGCCTGCTCCAGGGACAGCAGCTTCTCATTCGAGTTGAAGGCCAGGGAGTCGTTCCGCGCAGACGAGGACGACGGAATCTGCGAGGGGGGGAGGGGCTGGTCGTCCACCACAATGTCTTCATCTCCTCCATCCCCTGCGTCTCCCCCCCCTACATCCATGGCCTCTGCAGCTTCTCTCCCTCCTCTCCTCTGGGGGGGGGGGAAGAAGGGCAAAAATAGCAGTGGAAAAATGGGGTATGCTCATGTAATGACGAAGATCCACTTCTTCTTAAAAATGTAATGAGTATGGTTAGCCAAGGCACTGAAACTTAACACTGTAACAAGTTATGCAAGTTAACTTAATTTATATAAGTTAGTATAAGGATTGCACCAAGAATTGCCATCCTTCTGCTTCCATCATTCTTATTTTCTCTTTTTTTTTAATTCTATACCAGAACAGATGATGTAAAAATACACCCAATACTATAAATATTTGTTTTGTTAATTACATGGGAGAACAGAGGAGACAAGCATAATTGTCAATTACATCTATAACAATTACCCAATCTATCAATGAAATAATCTGCATTCTAATATCTACAATGAATTAGGTTAGTCCAATGAAGAGCAGTCATTAAAATAATGAAAGCCACTGAATGAAATATTTGTTGTTGCAAAGAATATACTCTGATGCTTAATCTATTAATGTATAATAATAGAACAAAAATCATTCCTAAAAAAGTCTTTGAAAACAGCAACACCGTGCATCCATCTAGCCTATAATGCCAAAACAAACACAAAAATCATCATCAACGCCCCTCACAAACACAATCGGAATCAACGCCCAACACAACGAAAAATCTCCATCACTCACACTAGTCTCTCGCAGGTAATTCTCGTCAAAAGGGTCGTCTGGATCACCCATATTAGGCTTCTGTGTGTGCATCATCTTCGGCCCAGTAATCTTGAGCAAGTCGGCGTAGAAGAGGCTCAGAGCCGCCACGATCAGCTCGTCACCCATCTGAATGGTGTAGGAGATGGGCATTTTTCCGGGTGTGTGAACGGTGAACTTCTTCTCCTGGGCGCCACATACGTTCTGGCAGGAAGAGGCAAGAAAAGTCATTGCGAAATCTAGTGAAAAGGTAGTAAGGGCGAGGTCGTGGACTCGTGAAAACAGTGATACCAAAGTCAAGAAAATGTTGCAAGGGTGCAATTATAGTCTGGGTATATTCCAGGAAAGATTATCATGGTAATCTTGTGAAAGCATAAAGACTGTACACTTCTGAAAATTAATTGTGCAGACAAATGCATAAAAACAGTGATAACAAATCCAAGTTGCAAATAAAAAAAAACACAAACTACAAAATACAGTAAGTCCCCTACTTAAGAACATAATGGGGACCGAGAGGCTCTTTGTAAGTTGATTTGTTTGTATGTCGAAAGTCGGGTCTCCATTACCTTTTTTCCCATTGTTTTAAAGTTTTGTTTACATTAAGAATCCCTGTAAATAAATCCCAATAAGAACAACATACCTTACACAATACCAGACTCTTAAACTATATTCGTGCCCAGGAAATTTGAAGTTTGCTAGCATCTTTCAAATAATTTTTTGGACTTTAGTACTTAAAAAAATTTGTTTGTATGTATGGAATGTTCATAAGTAGAATGTTCTTAAGTAGGGGACTATCTGTATAACATACACATAACCAATGTACAGAATCCGACACCCTTTCTACAAAACAACACAAACCCCTCACCAGATTGACATGGCAAAACTCATGCTTCAACTTGCTCAGCAGCATTGCATCGAGCTTATTTGCTGGGTTGACCTGGTGCGGAAAACCACTCTTCTTCAGCAGCCAGTGGAATACCTGCGTCACGTCCGCTCCTCCGTAGTCTATTCTCAACTGGAGAGAGCGGGGATGGAGGAGAGAACATATGAGGCGACTGTTTCGAGGTGCTCTCATCAAATTCAGATTCAATTTTGAAAATTCTATTTAAAAAAAAAAGAAAATATAAAGTAAAGGGACATATTTATTTGGCACAAGAGGAATATTAGTTGCAAAATTTAAATGTGGATGTAGATGCTGAAGTGGATGTGGATGTGGAAACAGACGTGGGAATGGGTGTGGATGTATATTTGTAAATCTAATTAATACTGATTAGTTATGTCCTCTTATAAAATATCAAAAGGCTAAGTCAGAGCTGGTCCTGCTAAAGCACAGAACAAACTAATCCAGTAAACTTGTTCTTGTCTTTGTAAACTACTTCATAGTTTCAACATCGCAACATCACTCATTTTGCAATTATATTTGACTTCTCACAGATGCCAAATGTCACCTGAATATTGTCAATACACTTGTAAAAGCATATAATAACTCACATTCTCACTGAAAGATTCTTCCAAAATCCATTTCCGATACCTTCATGTGACGTCAGATAAATCATAAGGTTTTTAAACTTATTTTTGACAGTTAAAATCAGATAACAAATACAGTATAAACAGCAAATAGGCAAATACCAAGAACCAATAAAAGAACATTCCAGGTGACACAAGAACCACCCGTCCGACACTCACCCTGGTCGCCGGGTGTGAAATGGCATCCTCCACACATGATACGGAGGTCTTTTGGTCGCCAACGTCCACCACACATGCATAGCCAAGGCCTGCACCAAAAGTTGCCGCTACGTGATCCTGAAAGAGCGTCATTGTTTGAGGAAGAAGGGGCTTATGGAACAGAAAATAGGGCATTGCCTCGTTTCGTATACATTATTCCACCACATGAAAAATATTCCCTCCTTAGAAAAATGTTTTATCTTCTGTCAAGATAAAAAAAAAAAAAGACAATAAAACAACAGTAAAGAAAGGCTGGCGCATTAACTGATAAAAGGAAAAACATAAATATACTGAGGAATTTAATGGGTAAAAAATTCTTTCCTTGTTCATAGAGTTCTAATGCTTGATGTGTTAAAGCATCTGGCATTAAGAAACTAAAGTTAATCTGAGTGAAACATCTCATAGGCAATACACAATGCAAACTACCAAGACCAGTGAAACAAAGAAAATCCACTTGCTAACTCCCCAGGGCCTGACTCCCCCCTGGTACTTATCATCCTCTCCCTATCTTCATCTGCACAAACCTGGCACAAGTCAGATCCTAAGACTGAAAACCAAGACACAGCATTACAAAAAGAGACGGAGATACAAGCATTAGCCAAGAGACAGATATAAGTTCCATTCTCTGTCCTCAAGATCTGATACAAGGGCCTGATAGTGAAACTGTAAAAAAGGGGGGAGGGGGAATGCATAGAAAACACCAAAATACTACAGGGCAGATAGTAAAAAAACATATAAAGCGAACACCCCAAGAACGAACACTGTTACAGGCAAGAACAGTAAAGGAAGTGACAAGAAACAAAAAACTGGTGATGGATAGAAAAAAATAAATTTGTCATTCCAATAAGAAAGAGGTATAAATAAGAATGAATAACCTCACAGAACGAGTTGCACAGTGACCTTACTCATTCTTAGTCAAAGTCTTTCTGACAATATTATATTGCTCTGTTATCATGGTCATTGGGGGAGGGGGAGAGGGAGTGGGAGAGACTAGGGGGTAATGATAACTTGATTTCTTTGTTTTTACTGTCTTGTTAAGATGCACTATACTGCTCTGCCAGCATGATGTTTCACTCAGGTGACTTTTAAACTGTTAAAGTAAATCCAAGTTGCACAAGCCTTTTGCTTCAGACCTCCATCATCATCATCATCATCATCATCATCATGATTATCATCATCATAATCATAATCATGATTATAATTACAATCAAAGTCATCATTATAATAATTATCATAATCAATCATCATTAGTATACATAAATAAATAAATACAAGATAAAAATATAAACTAGTAATCCTTTACAAACTATTAATATTCAACACCCAATAAAATCAGACAGAGGAACCGAATACCAGACAAACGCACCTGCAGGACAAAACATCCCCCGAAGCCCAGGCCGTTGAGTAGCAGGTTGGTGAGTTTCTTGACATAGTCCCGGTTGTATATGTCAGGGATCAGGAGCACAGCACGATAGAACTGCAAAAAAGGAATAAAGGCTTAGATAAAGTGAGAATACAAGAGGCCATATTTGCCCACAGTAACACTGAAATGATATACTATAATTAGGTTGTAAATGAATGTAGTCATAGACATAATAGTTACTGGATTTTGAAAATTAGAGCAATTTCATAAAATGTAACTGTTTTGTTCAAGACACTGATCAGATCCTCCTCATATTTTTATACACTTTGTTTGTTACTGTGGCTCCTTAATCCCTCTTTCACAGGCAGCTCATGCCATGTAGGTAGACAACCACCTTCACATAGCAACTCCATTAATATTAGGAGGATGTGGTGAGGTATGGTCTGTAAGTTGTTCACTCTCAAGCTCACCAATCCTCGGGGATGTGCATGATAGGGGAGGTGCCTGGTAGTTAGGATATGTATCTGAGAGTGTATCATTTAGTCTACATTTGTATGTGTTGAGTATGGAGTGAAAGTATGTGAAGCATAATCTATCAAATTTGGGCAGTCCTATTCCTGTGCTGCATGGGAAGCACAGCCAGTAACCATTACTTTGTGATGGGAATTACCTCTCTACTCATACTAGAAGTGTAATGTCAGCACAGTTTTACAAAGGATCTCCAAGGGTACAAGGTGGAATATGTACAGGAGGGTTAGTCACTTTGGTTCATACCATAAGTGGTAGAGGTTCAGAGAGGGTAGTTAGCCTTCTATTCACATAACACCCTACTACAAATACACTCTCAAGCTACCATCATCTATCCCAAAGACAGAAAAAAGATAAACTGAGAGGAAAGACAGACTAAGAAACAGACAATAAAAATAATAACAACAGCTTAAATACCAATAGCACATGCACCTCCCGCCCCCCCACAAAATAATTTTTAAAATATCATAAACAGCAACAGGTTAACAAAACAAAAACATCATTAATAATCCCAACTACAACTACACAAACAATAACAACCCCAGCAACTATATACGCAGATACCTTTAGATCTTTAATAGGCACATTGAGAACATTGGAGATGCAGTGTCCCCAGATCGTCTCCAAGTCGGCTAGGACTGCGCTGATCGAGCCCCCTAAGCCCTTGTGAATGTTCAGGTCTCCGCGGACAAGAGGGAAGTGGATGTTGTACTCCTCGGAAGGATGGAGGGAAAGGATCTGAAAAGTAAGGGAAACATGAGTGAGGTTTGCTGCAGTGGTAGTGGCAGGTGCGGTAAAGGTGTGTGTCTGCATAGGAATTGCTCTATGGTATTTGCTATTACTTAATATTTTTTCTTTTACTTCCTAACTTCATTCTTATGATTACTGTCATGATCACTGCCTCCATCATCATTATCATAACAATTACATTCCTTTTACTATTGTCTTTATATTCATTCTCATCACAATATTTCTTTCAAATAGTATCTACAGGAGGCCTACATACATATAATACAATCACCTTTTCTACATAGTTCATTAATCAAAACTAACCAAACAGTTACATTAAAGGCTTTTATCAAACCAAAACAAATAACAATTCCAATCACCAAAGACATCATAAAAATTAGAAAACAACTTCCAACTGTTAGACAATTAATAAGTATTTTAACCAACTTGAAAACATTTGATAATACTGATGTCCAAATACCAAATTCAAGAAACACAAGCCATCCTAAGAGTAAGAGACTATGACACATCTAAACAATCCTTGAAAACAGTCCTCTGGCAAACAACAATCCCAAACAGATACTAGGAAATCCTTACCTCATCACCAACAATAAATTCCTTGTCGCTGTGCACCCAGGGTGGGGAAGGTTCGGCCGTTTCCTCCTGTGCAGGTTGCAAGCGTTTATTATAGGCTGCAATCTGCTGTGGCGGTGTGGCGAATCTCCGCGACCCGTCAGACATTAAGGAAGACTGCAGGATGTGGCTCACCTTCAAGCGACATTCCTCAAGCTCTTGCACAGCTTCTCTGTCCTTGAGGAGGGAAAAAGCATAAGTTGTTTAGTGTGTGTGTTTTTAATAAGGACTCAGAATGGCTCATCTGCTCTGCATTTGTTCAGTGCAAGTGGCTAAAAATATGAATTACAATGAGAAATAAGCATATCTATACATCAAATAAATGGTAGAATAATGTTGACAAATAGTGAGGCTGCATTTCAATAAAAGACCAGTACTTTAAATACTAATGCCACACACGCCTTCGACAGGATAAGCCTATTTTTTTCTACCAAAGCCGAAACTCAAAAAAAAAATGATGTAGGAGCGCACCAACTTAGCCTGAGGGATGAGAAAGGGATCACTGTACACCGGCAGCCCCTTTTTCCTCTTGCGGGCGATGGCATGAAGGACAGTGTGAGGCACGGAGTCAGAGGGACGACCTAGGCGGAGATATCGTGAGCCCGGGTGGATGATTATACTGGCCTGGGCTTCCAGATGCTGCAAGAAAGAAAGATGATTGACTGAAAATGCCCTGGGTGACTGACTGACTAAGAACTATCAAGAAGGGTTTGTTTTTAATTCATAGCATGAAACCTATCAACAGGTCTACCTTTGATACATGTACTATTAAACTACCAAAATACTGTTGTAATAACCTAAATACAGAATTTATAAAAAAAATCTCATAATGAAAGAGTAACTTCCCAGTATAAGACCTCATAAGGCAATACTGTGATTCCTCCCCTGCCTACAACCTGCCAATAGCCAACTAACAAGACAATAATATTCTGCAAAAAAGTTTGGACTGGTTTGCCATCTGACATTTAGTGTCAAGTGAGCCTACAAGTCCCATCTTCCAAGAATAAGCACTGGTTCGTCATCTGACATTTAGTGTCAAGGAACCCTTGAAGTCCCACCTTACAAGAATATGTATGGCTGTGGTTTGTTGGCCTTAGCTGGAGTGTAATATATATCCTGATGTGCACATCGATGGGAACTGTGGGTTTACCTTTATTTTGCACAGATTAATATTTATTCCTAATAGAATTATGCTAAGTATTCTAAATGACCAGTATATTAGTTTTTTTTTCTATAATTCCTGGTATTCCTTTTCTTTATAATTACCTAAAAACTTATATCACAGATTCCAGTAAATCTGTAACCAGACTACCACTGCATTAAGCAACAGCTATGGTTCCTCCCCTGTCAACACTTCAGCAAAGACCAATAACCTTCCCCCATGTTTATCTAGAAGAAAGAGCTTTGGCTGGTTATCTATCTGGTATATTTCCAAGATGGAGCTTTCAGACCTCCCTAATAATTCAATATCAAGTAAGCAAT